ATCCTGCTTCAGGTAACATTTTATTTCACTTAAGATGGTGCTGGTTAAACTTCTCCACCATAGAGTTAATGAGTAAGTGATTTGTATTTCTAAATTAATAAGCAATTAGTCAGTATTTTGGGGAAATTATTTGAGACTATATTTACTTCCTCATTGGATCTTTACCTACTTGTTTTTGCATCCAGTGATGACTCTATCTAAATTACTTATGACTATAATGGTTGCCAAGTAAAGATTTTCCAATCCCATTATTCCTTCTAAATTTATTAGTTGGCAATTTGTACACCCTTTTATTATTGCATGTGTCATTCCCTACTGTATTTGTTTAGATATCTGTCTCTTCTACCAGGTGATGAAGCCAGAGGAGAGGAATAGCTTTGCTGTGTGCTTGGGTGGGTGGAGAGTATACAAGAGATTTAAGCCAGGAGTGCTTCACCACTGAGTTACACCCCATCCCTCTTTTATTTTTGGAACAAGATCTTGCTAATTGCCCAGCCTGATCTAGAATTGGTGATCATCCTGCCTTAGCCTCCTGAGTCTACTGCGATTATAGGTGTGTGCTACCATCCCTAGCTAGATCTGTCAAGAGTCTAGCTCAGCTTTTGCCATAGGATTGCTTCTATGTTAACCCATTATGTTCCAGCATCTCAGATGTGGGACTCCTACAACAACTTAAGGATAGAAGCAACAAATATGCCACTTACGTCAACTTTTGAAATAAATGGTTTTTATAATTCTATTCTTTTGAGAAAAATAGGTGAATGACAGAGCATTTGAAAAAATATATGTGATATATAAGTTCTAGAGTGTGATTTCCAACCTATTATAATACATCTGTGTCAATTTCATTGACATAGTCATAGACTGGAAACTTGGGACTGAATGGATTAATGAATACTTATTGAACTGAAAGAGGGTTTTGTTTTTGTTTTGCCTTGTAAAACTAGAATGATTTGTCAAAGAAACAGCTAGGAATATGGTGCTTAGTTATCTACTACTGTGTAACAAAACACCTTAAAACTTAAGTGTCTTAAAACCACAACAATTTATTTATTTATTTTTTGTGGGAATTGAACCCAGGGCCTCGCACATGCCAGGCAAGCACTGAGCTAAATCCCTAAGCCCTTTTTATTTTATTTTGAGATAGGGATAGGGTCTTGCTAAGTTGCCCAGGTTGGCTTTAAACTTGCATTGTTCCTGCCTCAGCCTTCTGAATAACATCTGTTTATTATTTCACATGATTCTATGGGTTGGCTGGTCAATTCTGCTTCATGTGGTATCAGCTGGGGGCACCGGGATGGCTGGAGGGTTTAAATGGCTTCACTCCTATGGCTGGATATTAGTTCTAGTCATTGGTGCCAGGGGTCTCAGTCTTGTTCCTTCTTCATATGGCTGCTTTGGCTTCCTTGTGACATGAGGGCTGAGTTCCAGCGAGGAGCATTCTAATAAAACAAGCCCCACATGCAAGCATATCAAGAATCCACTTGCTTCCTGCTTGTCAGTGTCCCAGTTGCCATAGGTTGTCACAAGCCTAAGTCCACTGTGAGCATGAGAAGCGCTGCACTAGAGCACATATACTGAGAAGGGTCCCTGGGAAAGTCAAAGTGGGGATAGGTGAGGTCATTTTCTGTATCATTATATTTTTAAAAGCATTGAATGACAGAGGTGGGGCATTTTAAAAGGTGAGAAAATGAAATGGGACTCCAACACAGTATCTTAAAAAGTGAGTTCCCTTGGGCCTAGTTCACCCCAATCTGACATCCCAATAATCCTTTCAACAGGCCAAAACCACGACGCAGCAATTGGAGACAACAAAGTATGATCTATATTGGAAGAGAATTATTGAATACAGTATGTTAAAAAAATCCTAGTAGAACTCTATTTCAAATAAATATTAAAAACAAAATAAAAAAGGGGAAAAAGTAATGCAAAATACACATGGTTACTTTATTTAAAGTTGGAGATTGGGTGGGTATTCTTTATTTTTATTTTTTTGTATTTTTGGGGAATTATAACAATAAAAGTGAATAAAATAAAATTAAACATCCAATTTGTCAGGTAAGACCAATAAGAGAAAAGTTGTTGTGATTCAAGGTTTGAAGCTTTCCCCAGTCAATTCTCCTTCACTGCCTCTGCCACTACCCGCCTTCACTGGCCTCTCTCAGATCCCTCTGTGGGATTCAGAATGGCCATAGATTGTATTTTGGAAACTGCTGAGCAGATGACTAAGGGTTGCCCTAGAAGACAGTAGGTATGAATTTCAGTTTGGTCCTGGTGATGTTGATTAAAAATGCTAAGTAGAATAGATAGTCTGGGATGGACACTGCTCCTTAAGAGGTGACCAGAGAAATGGGGCCACTTTTATAAATGGTCCACTGAACTGGCCTAACAATGTATGCAATAACCAAAGTCTCAAATGACACATTTTGTTTTCGGGAGCTGCTATAATAAATTGCCACAAACTGGGGTAGCTTAAAACAGTAAAAATTTATCTGGGTACAGTGATATACAACTGTAAATCTCGCCTTGGGAAGCTGAGGCATGAGGATCTCAAATTTGAGGCCAGCCTCGGCAAGGTAACAGGACACTGATTCAAAACAAAAAAATAAAAGGGTTTGGGCTGTAGGTCAGTGGTAAACTGCCCTTGGGTTCAACCCCAGTGCCTCCCCATGAACAGCAACAAACAACAGCAGAAATGTACTCTTTCATGGTTCTGGAGACTAGAAGTCTGAGATCAAAGTTGTTGGCAGAATTCCTTCTAGAAGCTGTGAGGGAGGGACCCATCCCCTGCCTGTCTCCTTGGCACTACTTGGCTTACAGATGCAGCACTCCAGTCTCTACCCCACTGTCACAGGACATTCTCCTTGTGTGTGTTCTTTTCTTTCTTTCTTTTTTTTTTTTGATGCTTAATTATATGTGATTTTTTATTTAAAATGACTTTCCAAGTCTTCCAATGATTCAACAGGCTTTGTTTCAATTTTATTATCTCAAACAGCTAGAAATCAATATGCTTTTTGTATTTTATTGTAATCACTATGTATGCTATTTTAGTTTTTTTCATTAATATCAGAACCACATGTATCAACCAGTAAGCAGTACAGATTTAAATTAGCTTCTCAGTAGTTATGGTATCATTGCCAGATTCTTGGGATTTCGCTAATGCTGAATACTATTTCAAGCCCTTTCTCCAACTAGCTATATAACTAGCAAAACATGCCACCACTCTAGGCCTACTTTCTCATTTGCAAAATCAAATGCCTCATTTATCTATCTATAAAATTCCATGATATTCCCCATCACATTCATTTTCTATTTCATCTTCATTTGCTACTTCTCTACTGATAAAAGCATAATTTTCTATAATCAAGTAAATATGAATTCATTAAAAACACAAACCCAAAATATTCTTATTCCAATGTATTTGCATAATAGATAAGAAGGCTCTCACTTGAATTTTCATATTTTTTTTTTTTTTTTTTTTTTTTTTTTTTATTTTTAATATTTATTTTTTAGTTATCGGCGGATACAACATCTTCGTTTTGTATGTGGTGCTGAGGATCGAACCCGGGCCGCACGCATGCCAGGCGAGCGCGCTACCGCTTGAGCCACATCCCCAGCCCGAATTTTCATATTTTATTTCTACCTCTTTATTTAAAGTCAACGATAAAAGTCATACCTGTAAAATAAATGCATTTAAGAACACAAAAGATACAGTTCAATGACAAAAAAAATAAGCAGTGATCATGAAAATCTACTATGCATTTTGCTAAGGTCAACAGAATGAAAGACAATATGAAAATGTCCATCTTCAAATATATCCTTAACAAAAATTTTACCAAATGGGTAAGAGCATCAACAACAACAACAAAAAAAAAATGTGTATTTTTACGCATCTGGCACCAGCTCAAATAACAATTTTTTTAAAAAATGGGAGTAGGGAATTAGACAAGATGAAAACTCTTCCTAGGTTTTCTAGATAAAAATATGTGGGTACCAGGAATTCATGATTAAACTTCTGAAACAACTCAAGAATTAAATGAATATTTGTAACAGATAACAAAAGCATAAAACTGATTCTTTTTCTTAGAAATGAGATGGGGAATTTCTTAATAAAAGTTTAATAATTATCTAAGAAAAAATTTAGAGTCCAACATTCCATTTCCCAGCCATGAGTATAAAACGAATACCTTCCAAGAAATTTTCTTTCACATTACTAAAATGATTGGGGGCAATTTTGTGTCTAGATCATTTCAAACAATTGCTTGTTATTGTTTTTGTGGTTCTGAGCACAGAACCCAGGGCTTCACACATGCTAGTCAAGGGGTCCACCACTGAGTTAGGTACCCACCCCAAATAAGTGTTTTAGATATGTGGAATTACTACAGCTAAGATTTTTGAAAACAATATTTGAATCTTAGTAAAGAGATAACAGTCTTTCACTATACAATGATTTGAGTTTCCATAAGAAAATCTGAGCAACTGTTTTAATATGATGCTGGTGGTAATAAATGGCAATTTCAATTTTTTCCCTTTAAAAAATACATGATCCATGTTAACACTAAGTAGTAAATATATTACATTATACATTTTAACAAGGAATGAGTGTTTCCAAGCCTTAAGAGGAAAAAAAAATCCTAATAACGGCATTAATTACCTGTTTTGTCACTGATACACTATGCAGCTTAAGTATGCAACATTAAGCAAAAATGAATATATAATTTTACCAAAGAAACAGAAAAATATGGGAAGAAGTTGAATGCACATGGTGTAGGTCCCAAAGATTACACTATGATTCTGAACCAGATTTTTAACACAAATGTGTCTACATACAAGTTCTGTGAATATTTCTTACACTAGAAAGATCCAAAGCAAATATAGGCAAGTTTATCCCTATCTTGTAAAGTTAAATATACAGATAGGCTAGAAGTCCCATTTGCTAAAGTGCATCAGCTGACCACATCTGCTCTGGCCCTGCTATTCGGAGCTATCTGAGACACTCGTGCTTATTTATTCACTCTTTTCTCTATGCTATTATAGTCAGAGAGGATGATAGATTTTTTTTTAAACCAAATACTTTGTACAGTGAACTACAGAAAAACAATCCTAAATATACTACCTTTGAAAATTCTGAGTTAAGATAACCTCGTTATTTTTAAATACTGAAAATGTAAAGGGTCCATACAAATTGAGTTGTATTAAGTATATACTTTCTACTTTAATATTCACTTGCTGTGCTCTTAAAATCTCTATAAGAGAAGCAGGTATTTTCCCCATGTCTTTTGGCAATAAATTCAAAAGTAAAAGCTGCAGGGCTGTAAAATTTCATGAAATTTGTGGGTTTTTTTTAAAGCTAAATTACTCAATATCTTGTATTATTATTGCACTCATATATTGCCCGGAACATATCTACAGCAACTCAGCAACAGTGATTGCAACAAAAGTAAGGTAAATAGGTCTACAAAGCATTTGATTTCCTTATTAGATAAGAAAGTTTTCATAGAGGAAATGCAAACAACTGCAATTCAAATCAGATTATATATGCTTAACAATTACTTATATAAAATTAAATCTAACCCTCACCTCTACAAATCTGTAGGGAATCAGAAAAGGACTTATATTACACAAAGTCTTGACTATTGCTGCATTCCTCTTTGAAATCACTGAGTTAAAACAGCATTTTCCCAAGATTTAAAGAAAAATAGATTTTTACAAAAGAGTTTCTTTTTCATCACTGAATACATCATCTTTGTTACTAAGAGAAACAAGTTATATTTTTTTCCACTATGATTCACTCTGATGAAACAAATAATTCTCTTTCTTTTAACTCCTAATAAACACTACATTTTCAAGACTAAAGGAATCATCAGTAGGCATTCTTTTTGATATAAGTTATTTGTCTCTAAAATATGTCAAGTAAGCTTTCAAAGACTCAGGGAGGGGCAGCTTCATGATTTTTTCCCTCAGTAAATTCTGTGGTGGCTCCTCTGGCTTCATGGCTTCATTATGATCTTTCTCATCCTCTTCTTTGTTATCTTCTTCCATTTTTTCATCCTCCTCACTGTCTAAAGGCTGAGGAATGAGCTGATTACCCACAAACACATAAGTGTTGATTCTCTGTTTAACTCGCTTTCTTTTCCTCTTAGGTGGAGCCCTTTGAGGAATCCCCTTGGCCTGCATCTCATCATTTATGAAATTTCTAAGTGTGCGCCGAATGTAAATACGAGCCAAGTCCTGTAGATTCCTGACAGCACAGGGAGGGAGTCCCACAGAATCTGGTTTGCCATTATCATTCTTACTCGGTTGTACAAGTGGAGCAAATGAAACAGCAAGAATATTTTTACTTTCCCAAGTATTTTGTCCAGTTCGCATAATCTGTGTTAACTGATCTTCTATAGGCATAATTAGTATGCCTCCAACTTTTAGTAATATTTTCATGGTCTTTCTGAACTCCAGCTCCACAATAAATTCGATCATACTGATGACTGTCAGATGCTATCTGGAGGCAATTACCAACCACAAATGCAGGTTCACAGAACTCAAATCTTAGCAGTGGTTTTCTTTACAGGTGCATGTTGAAATATCTTCATCATCTTGAGATGAACAGATGATTTCGTTCACAGCAGGGACCTTGCCAACTTGCCCATATAATTCTTTTGATAAGCTGCTAGGAGATCAGGGTGACCTAGCCTTGCCCTGTAGCTTCCCTCTTAGACGGATAGTCTAGGTCTAGGAGCTGATTATCAAAGCTATCACTATTTTTGATGAAGCTCTCCAGTTTTTCCTTGGCATATTCCACCACATCTGAATGAAGCTCAATCCCATGATTTATTCCAAAAGGACCTGTGGCGCGGCGGTCGGTCCGGCCGGCCACAGCGGCGCCGTGTGTTCTTTTCTTGTCAAGGCTCCCAGTCATTAGATCTGAGGCCCACTCTAGTCCTGTATGACCTCATCTTGAGTGTATCTGCAAAGACCCTATTTCCAATAAAGTTGCATTCATAGATTCCAAGCGGGTATGGCTTCTATGGGGGCTCCATTCAATCCATCCCCATACCTGGGCCTGTGGAGGGTGGTGGCTGTTGACCCACTCAGGGTGGCTCCCAGGCTCGCTCACATACCAGGCCAACATTCATCACTAAGAACTTCAGAGCTCTGGTCATCACTTCCTAGATTCTCACAAAAGAAAGCACTTAAAAAACAAAAAACAAAAACAAAAAAAACCCAAAAAACAGTTTTGAGAATCATTTGCTAATGATTTAATACTATTATAAGAGAATAAAATCTTTCTTTTCTATGGGTGCTTAAGAAGGATGGAAACTCAGTTGAAGTGCAAGGGTGAATGCTTTAGGAACAGGGTCAGGAAGGTGTGGTTTAGAGACTGCAGAAACTGTGAGTCTAGAAAGAAGCTCTTAAAGCAGTTGGATAAGTTAATACTTCTAGAATCTGATTAGATCAGCACTAAATACAACAGTAACCTTTGCTGGCAGCCAGCTGTGCTCCTGAGTTCAGGAGACAGACTCTCAGAATCAGTATGAGTTCTACCTCAATCCTGGGGTCAGTTAGTGACCTTAAAAGACCTGCTCAGCTGAATTCCCTACAGGTTATTTCCTCTCCATGGGCACTTCCACTGCAGGTCCCAGACAACAGCTTTTAGTCTCTTGGGGCTGCTTGAAGAAGCAAAAATCCAATAAGAACTTCTAGAAGGTTGTAAATGTGCTACAGCTGCAGGGAGGACCTGGGGGAGTGGTCAAGGCTTACTGACTGCTGCTACTATGCCTCTTCCCTACTCACCCCGCCACTGGCAGCTGGCCAGGAGCCAACCATTCTCTGCCATGGACACAGGAAATGGGGGTGGGTGCCTTTTGATTGAGAGTGTGGAAAGTGCTACAGGAAACAAAAGCAGAAACCTTCTAAGCCATTTGAGAAATTGCATTCCAAAGGTATTTGCTAACTGGATTTCAGAAACGCTGCAGGAGCAGCCCATGAAAAAAATCCGAAGAAGCACTGGTTTGTGCAATATTAATACTATTGTCTTATAAATATTTCCTCAAAGAAGGCTGGAGGCAGGTGGCTCTCTGCCAAGGGCCTGGGTGGCAAGGGGAAGAAGGGTAGGAAGTCATTCATTGTGTACTGCTTGCTTATCAAGGGTCTTGCTGTTTCCTGTGTAAGGGAGCTGTGGGGTCTCCAGGGGCACCGGGAGCCTTGAATAAGGGCCCTTTCAATCCCCTCTTGCTCATTAATGCTGGACTTTCACCAGTTCATGCTATCTTTATTCATTTCATCCCACATTTACTGCATTCTTACTGTGTTCTGGGCTCCATGTTTACTCTTAGAAGGCTCAGGGAGAAGAGAGGCCGTTTTTTGTCCTGCAAATGTTCACAGTCTGCCTTGTGGTTGGGATCAAGGTCAGTGGAGTGCCTGCTAGAGACATTAATTAAGCACAGAAAGAGACTAGAAAACTAGTGAAAAAAAGTTGTGTGTGTGAGCCAGGCGCGATAGTGCATGCCTGTAATCCCAGCAGCTCAGGAGCCTGAGGCAGGAGGATTGCAAGTTCAAAGCCAGCCTCAGCAAAAGTGAGGTACTGAGCAACTCAGTGAGACCCTGTCTCTAAATAAACTACAAAATAGGGCTGGAGATGTGGCTCAGTGGCTGAGTGCCCTTGAGTTCAATCCCTGGTACAAAAAAAAAAAAAAGTTTGTGTGTGCATGTGTGTGTGTGTGTGTGTGTGTGTGTGAGAGAGAGAGAGAGAGAGAGAGAGAGAGAGAGAGAGAGAGAGAGAGAGAGAGAATACATTTTTCTCCAAAAGGATAAAGATTTCAATTGTATAAATAATACATGATATTGTTTAATTTTTAGGACACCAAAAGATTTTAAGATTGGTAGGTTTTAACCTGGCCCTTTAGGAGTGCAGTTAAAACATAAGCAGATACCTCTAACACAAGATAGATGAATGCCAAAAGGAAATACCAAAGTAAGAATGGAGAGAGCGCAAGAGAGGGATCACAGTGTCTTTATGGAGGAGGTGGTAAGGGATGTGGACTTTGATGGGTAGGCAGGTAGGTGGGGTTGGAGCACAGGCTCTCCAAAGCCATTCAAACCCATTAACACTCCTGTATGGGGCGGGTGGAATGGGCAAGCATGCTCCCATCAGAGAAGCAGAGAAGCCTGCTGGGGAATTAAGGGCTTTCTGTTCTGTGTGAAGAAAAAACACATGTGAGGACATGGGTCTGAGGGCCCGCTGGTCTAGTTTGGCTGCAGCAGGAAAGTTTCCTTAGAAAGGTTCCTCCTGACTCTCTTCAACTTCCAGCAGGCCAGCTAGGGGATTTGGCTGACTTTTCCAAAGGCAAAGTTCAGGATGGTCTCACCATACCTGACCCTGTTGAGTGTAGAGATGAGCAGCTATAAGGCTTTCTTGCTGGTCTGCTGAGTACTTCTTAGACTGCTTCTGTGTACTTAGAGATGACCTTTAGAGGATGACATTTTAGCATTCTGCGTGGGCTTCCTGTGTAAGGTACACGAGTTTGTGACTGTGCCCAGAGCTGCAGACTCCCTTTTGTCTGTATACTGCATAACCAATGTGTTGGCCTCCTTAAGAATGAACTGGGGTGAGGTAGGGAGGAGGGGCATGGGAGGAATAGATGAACTCTAGATAGGGCAGAGGGGTGGGAGGGGAAGGGAGGTGGCAGGGGGTTAGAAATGATGGTGGAATGTGATGGACATTATTATCCAAAGTACATGTATGAAGACATGAATTGGTGTGAATATATTTTGTATACAACCAGAGATATAAAAAATTGTGTTGTATATGTGTAATAAGAATTGTGATGCATTCAGCTATCTTATATAAATAAAAAATATAAAATAAAAGAATGAACTGGGAAAATAAGAATGTTTTCAAGAACATTAACAGATGCTTGCTTGGATGAAGTAAAGTCACAGAGTAACAACCTTCTAAGACTTTTTCCACAGTGCCAGACACAGACCCTGGTTTGAAATGTAGACTTGCCCTTAGCACTTCCCAGAATGCCCCTCACACCCCCTGTTTCAGATGCATCTGTCCTGCATTGTGGTGTTCCTTCTGAGGTAGGATAGTAGGAATAAGAAATAAGGAAGGAGACATATAGGAAGGACAGGGAAATAAGGTTTTGATTCAGAAGTTCCACATAATTTTCCAGAACTGTCACTCCCCAAGCTCTCATCTCTCTCCTGGGCCAGTGATTCCCAAATTCCTGAAAAAATCTGTAAATCTATCTGTGCAGCATGAATTAACACCGCCCCCCACACATACACACAAATAAAGAAAGATATGTATTTTGAGAAACTTATAATTTAGGGGACTTTCCAGAGCTATCCACAGATCAGATAATGAAGACCACATCCTTCAAAGGATCCAGAAACTGACCAGACACCACAAACTGTTTAGAGATCACCAGACTGATATCATTCCTACACATCTTTCCATTCTCACCCATTACCAAGTTTCCTTTAAAAGAAGAGCCAGGAACCCCTCAAAAATGTATTTTTCTCTTGAGATTTCCTTCATTCTTTCTTGAATATCTTTGGATGTATATTTACTTGTTTTTTTGGTACTGGGTATTGAACCCAGAGGCCCTTCACCACTGAGCCCCAGACCCAGCTCTTTTTATTTTTTATTTTGAGATAGGGTCTCACGAAGTTGTCCAGGACCTTGCTAAGTTGCTGAGACTGGCCTTGAACTTGTGATTCTCCTGCCTCAGCCTCCTGAGCCACTGGGATTACAGTGTGAGCCACTACCCCTGGCTTCTACTTTAATAAACCTCTGTCTGTGTCTTTGGCATTTGCTGAAATTCTTTTTCATCACATAAGCCAAGAGCCTGCTGGCCCTGAGCCAAGTTCGCCCTTCTCTCCAGGAACTCCTTGGACTCTTCTCTGGAGATACCTCTCCTCCTGTGACTCTTTTCCTTGCCCTATAAGCACTCCCTGGAGGATCCCTGTCTCCTCCTTGTACTTTCATGAGTCACTAAAACTTCATGTGAATTTTAAAAAATTAATTATTTTTTTAATTATTTCTTACATACATCACAATAGAGGAGTGCATTACATTCATATTTCTTTTTGCATTGCAATTCTTAATACACCTTTATACCACAATTTATTTTTATTCACAGGGTTAGAATGGCTTCTTCCTCTCTAAATTAATCCCCCCACTCCCATCTTATTCCTTCTGTCCTGCTTCCATCCAGGGTGAAACCCAATCTTATTTACATAATGACATCTACAATAATGTGAAGGGTATGGTTCTCATGACCCACTGATATAAGTTCTGTGAGGCCACAGAGAGGGAGGTTATGTATAAACATACCATAACAAACTTAACAGAGCTGCTTACAGATGAAGATTAATGGTGTTACCATTTAAGAAGTTCAAAGAAAAAAACATTTAAAAGTTAAAGTGTACTTATACACGTATCCCTCTTAGAAACTTGGAAACATAGTTTTGAAAAACAGCTTTGG